TTAACTTGAATAAAGCTGTTGATACTTAGAGGCTTAAGTTATTCTCCTGTTTCTGAGACTCATGAAGAAGAGCAGCAGCTGCTGAGTCATAATCAGTCAAGGCAAATGGTAAATGTGTCTTGGTTTAGACAGATAACCAGTGGAAAAATAAATTGCATGTGTGTGTGAAAGAAAAATCCACTGGGTGAAACTCTAGTAAATCTAAATACATATGCCCAGGATCCAAGTACTGGAGAGGGTCAGAGGGAAGTCATGGATTCGTATTTAAAAAACTAAAATGTTTAACCTCTTCCACTCCCCTGGGAAGCTGAAGTCCATGGTCAACATTAAGGTGTTTCAGAGGTTGTAGTGGGCTGAGTTTTAAGCTAGGTATCTGAATTAGAATGGATTTAAAAAATGCAACTTTTACAGAAATCTCTAAATGTCAAACATTTGTCATCATATACTTCCATCATAATGTTCTAAGCCCTGACTCTAAACTTTCTAAGTTTAAATAGGGGCCTATCCAAGCCACAATGATTATGACAGATTTATGAGATGGAAAACTTGACACACAGTGCTGAGTTGTACCTCAATTTCATCTCCAGGTTCCCAGCTTTCAGATGATATATACACAGGGTATGAAATTAACAAAATATTTTGGGGGCAATTTTGGCCCCCACAATCTAAAAAAAGGGGCATTTTCAAAATGTTTGGGGGCCATCAAAAAATTGTAATTATGTTCTAACAATAAGCACATGAAAAGCAAAACCAACTAAGATAGTGTCCTCACTCTTCAGTAGAAACCACTATAAATGAAATAAATAATGGGTTACATAAAGTTATGGTTGCAAAATATCACTCAGATTTCCTATAATTCAACCAGTTTAAATGTGATGATTTAACCACTAATCTACTGATAGCAGTACTAATGTTTCACCACATTACAGTTACTTTTACTGTTAAAAAGGCCAAATTACTATAAATTCCTTAGATGCAATCCTGGAAGTAAGTTAATTTAAAATTTAACATTCATTCTACCTTAATTTTTCATTAATTTGTCATTGTGTCGACACAGATCACCCAAGAAATGGTTAATTTAAACTTATGGTACAGCAAAGCCCCCTCCCCTTCTCTGTCAGATTACTCTCACGTAATCAGTGCAATCTTGTTGATTATGTCTGGAAAATGAGTTGTAGACGTGACAGTAAATTAATTTAATGAAAATAAAATTATACTTTAATGTCAGATTGTAATACTGTTAAAAATATAAATACATATAGTTGTTTCGAAAACCTGGAGGCAATTTTGGCCCCTGGAACATGGCTTTTGGGGGCATTCTTGGATAAATTGCAGGCCAAATGGCCCGTGGCCCTTGCTAATTTCTGACACTGTATATACATCATCTATGTGGCATATACTGGTGATCTGCTATCTCAACAATAAGATCCCCTGTCCCAGCTGAAAAAAGCAAAAATGTGTCTATGGTAGGGAAGAAGGGAGTGGAAGAGGTTAAATTGTAATAGCTATAATTTCTTTGAACTAAAAATGTGTTGAAAAGGCACATGTATTTTTTTTTACTGCCAGTAGAGGGTGCTGGACCCTTTATAAAAAAAATATGAATCCAGCCTGAAAACCAAAATGCAGGTGGAAACCCCATCTGAGCAAATCATGTTATTTCAGGATGTATTTTGCTACTTAACATTAATATTTTGCACGAGATCGAAACATGTTGTTACTGTGATAGTAAAATAAGACTTTAATTACACATTTATGCTATTTGTGTATGATCAAAGCAACATGAATGTGTCCTCTGCAATACAACAGTCAAGATAACATCAGGAGAGTAGCATCCAGACCTCTGTCAGATAATATGGATGCTAACGACCTTTCCTGTCTACTGAGAGGAAAAAAGCACAGAGTCTGGAGTCATGACCATTTATGTTCAGATCAGAGTGCTGATGCAACTAAAGAACTGGCATGTTCTTTCTTTGTGTTGTCAGATAAAACATCTTAAAAGTTCTCAGTTTTCTCTCCCACATCCTCACAGTCATTTATCTACACAAATACATTAAGTCCTGACCTCCATTCTTCAATATAAGATATTTCAAAGTGCAGGCCGACATACACCAAAAAGAGCGCTTCTGGCATTTGTCAGTACCTTTAATCTTTATAATATTTGGCATTTTCATTTTGGGCTGTGACCTCATACCAGAGTCATTAGCGTAGTGTGTAGAATTAAAGCACTGTAACCGGCTATAAGAGCATGAGCCTTTGAAATTTGTGAAATGAACCACTAGCCTAAATACACAAACTAAAAATGTATTTCATGCATGGTTACATGAACTGCTATACAGACTTGGTAGTTATATCATAAATGTCCTAGCAACTACATCAGGTGCTATCATGCAGGTCTGATGGAGAAGTGGTAGCGCACAGTGACTGGCTGATATGTAACAACCACGCTAGAAAAAGACACCTCACAAAGATCCCCCCACATCGTTGTTGCAGCGTGGGTGAAAAGTAAAACTGAGTCATCTCAGAAGGTACATTTAGCAACAGAGGAAATCATCTCCCATTCCCCTGCTCCAAAGCCAACAGCAATGAGAGAATAAGAAGGTTGTTTCTTCAGTCAAGGTAAATAGTAAAGCAGCCATATCATCACTTTGGGGGCCAAAATATGCCACAAGATAGCCCTATTACATTTGCAGATTAAGAAAAAACTATTATAAATCTCATTTCTTTACATAAATGTTGGGAGGAATATATGAAATATGTCTTAATATAATACAGTCCAAAACATCACCAAAAGTAACAGCCTCCAAAATGACCTTTAAGTTTAATCTTTGACACAGGATCAACAAAAACATTTTTGCAGCACCGCTGTAGTGAATATTTACTTGTTTCTTATTAGATGGCAGCTGTCTGTTTAAAGTGTTTTCCTGCCAACATTAATCATTTTGTCAGTGCGCTTGGTACAGCAACCATAGCAACAATACTTTTACCCTCATGCTGTGTTACAGTTTAGCTTGAATATCAGCCATCAGCAGTTACAGCACAACACTTCACTTGTCTTGGCGTGTTGGTTGGTTTTCTGACTTTGTGCTAATCTGAAGTGTACATGTAGCCTGGTTCCAGACTGCTGAGTTGCTGCTCTGCTTTTTCTTTCAGTGATTAAAAAAAATATTTGTTGTTGTGCTTTTTGAAAGCTGACTCCCTGGATGGAAAAAGTGCTCAAGCAAATCAGAGCTTTGTGGGTGGTTAACCTCCTGTGCCAGACCCAGAAAAATAGTGACAGAACTAGAATTATAGTTTTGCGGTTGGGTGCCTCCAAGAACCAGTCAAGCTCTAGTTACAGTTTATACCCATGTCTGTGAAAACGTGAACGCTTATCTGACCAAATGTCTCCCCTTCTGTTCCTGAGTTATGACATTGTACAATGGCCAGAAAAGTGTTTTTGCAGAACATTATGATGTCACAGTGGAGCTGACCTTTGACTTTTTGCACATAAAATGTCATCATTTCATCTTTTTATCTTATTAGACATTTGTGTGAAATTTTGTTGTAATTAGTATATGAATTTTTGAGTTATGGCCAAAATATGTTTTGTGAGGTCATAGTGCCCTTGATCTTTAACCACCCAAGTCTAATAGGTTAATTCCTGAGTCCAAGTGGACGTTTTTGCCAAATTTGAAGAAATGTCCTTAAGATATTCTTGAGATGTCATGATGTTCATGAGAATGAGACGGGCGCAAGGTCACAGTGACCTTTAACCACCACAATCAAATCAGTGAGTTGTTGTATACAAGTGGGCGTTTGTGCCAAATTAAAAAAAAAAAAAAAAAATCCCTCAAGGTGTTCCTGAGATAACCCATTCAAACGAACGAGACAGGCAAGTAAACATCTGTGCCAAATTTGAAGAAATTCCCTCAAGGCGTTCTTGAGGTATTGCATTTATGAATGGGACAAACAGACGGACAGAAAACCTGAAAACTTAATGCCCCTGGCCACAGCTGGTGCTGGCACAGAGGGATAAGAAGGGCCCGAAAATGTTAACAAGCATGGAGAGCATGAGAGCGACACTGCTGTACAGGCTGTTCTAAGTCAATTTACAGAAACAACAGCTCTGAAACAGTGTTAATTTTGGCAGCCAGTTTAGATTTTATCTTAGTCTTTTGACAAAAATGCCACATTTCATTATTTTTTATCCATTTAGCTATCTAGTTTTAGTTGATGGCACCTCAAAATGTTTTAGTCCAGTTTTAATTGAAAAAAAGTCATTTAACTTTAGTCAACTTTTGCTCTAAATATTTTCTCTCTAAACTAATTCAACAAAACAAATATAGGTATCAGAAACTGGAATCAAGGTTGTGTCAGGTTTTGAAATTCATAAAGCAACTTTTGACTGCCTTAATACCTTAATATCCAAATTCCTTAGCTTGGTAATTAGTAGCCAGAGAACGTCTTTCCTTTTGCCATTACTTCAGTGCATTGTGTTTTACTTCATGATGATGTATAAATAAAGTTTGCACATAGATCAGTTATTTCTTTTCTGACCAAACCATTTTTATGCATTCTGAATATCTGATAGCCCACCACTAAAATTTTAGTCATGTCTTCTCAATGAAAAAATAAGTACATTACAATACAATAAAAAAAAACATTTTGACATGGTTTTAATTACTAAAATCTAGTTTTAGCTCGCCAACGTCTCGTCATTGTCATAAAAAAAAAAAAAAAAATGCTGTCGTTGAACACTGGTCATCATAAGTTTAATAATCATAGATATTGAGTCTAGATTTGTTTGGTTGTTAAAAACGTCTTCTATGTCCACTTAACATGACAATAACAGAGAGGATGCATAATTTCCTTCTAACTGGTGAGGACAAAATCCTGCCAACCAAAAGCAGCTAACACAAAGTATGAACACAGAGTCAGCTAAATAATGATTAGCATGTAGCTTCCCAACAAGTTATGATTAAGTAAGGGTTCAGAAAAGCCCTCAGTTATATCCCTCTTACTTTTCATGTCATCCAGGTCGGCGCTTGCCAACATCTGGGCCTCAGCCTCATCAGTGGGCACCTGCTGGTAGACGGCTGTCTCCAGAGCAGTCATGCTGCCGATGCAGATCCGCTCCCGCAAGTCATAGTTGCTCCGCTGGGCACCCGCCAGACGATGGTGGACGGGCTTCCTACGGAACCAGCCGCGGGTCGTGGTTGAACTCAAGGGGTCTGATCCTCGGGGAACGCTGACAAAAAGCACAGACAGATATTGGTAAGAAAGTGTACGGACAATTGAATGTTACCATAATGAGCTCCAAATCATATGACATTAAGAAAAAAGTGTTTGAGGTTAAATGTTGCTGCTGACTAAGATGCTGTGTTGTGCCTCCTAATTGCAGTGCTGCCTCTTCACCAGTAGAGGGCTTCACAACACAGCTGCAGGCCCGGACCTCCTCACCAACCCTCTGAGTCATCCTCAGCTGTGTTCACTCAAACACAAGCCTGTATGGCACAGGCGTGGTGGTGTTTCTGTGCTTTTATCCCACCAGGCATTAGCAGAGACAAATGCCTGAATCACCATGGGGCCCCTGACCTCCCAGCAGCAAAATCCATACATAATTTAAAAATGATGAACAAAAACAAACAATGAATCCATATTCAGATGGTTATGGTTGTTTGCGGGCTCGATGGCCTTCTAATATCTAGAATCCTGCTGAAGCCATTAGTGAACCATTACTGCCTTCTGAGTTGTATATATATTACTGGTTATTAGTGTTGGTTTGTTTGATGCTCACATTCATACTGAAACACTTAAGCTGCTAATGTAAAGTTCACATGCATACATCTGAGCCTGATGCATGGTCTTGTTTGCTCTATTCTGTACTGTGCTGTTCAGAAAAGCACCTGCTATATTAAAAGAGTTTCAGGAATATATTTGATGCAAGGGGTCAGTTCCAAATTTAGAAACCTCCGAATATTAATTAAATCATCTTTAATCCCGCTTTGGTATCCCCTCTAGTGCCATGGCTGGCAAAGTACTACTTTCTGTCAGTCTGGCAGGTAGCCGTTAAATTTGAAAAACATTGAACCACATACAATGTTTATGTGTGGATTTAAACAATTTATGGTAAACCAGTCCACAAGGCATATTAAACTGCAGGTAACCATAGCAACACGCTTCTGTGTAACATTCTTTTCATTCTACATTACCAGTAAACACTCCCTGGTGAATGGATTTACAGTAATAAAACAGTAAAGTGACTACAAACCTTTAAAGCTGCAAAATCAATATTTTATATCAATTAATTACAACGGATTGAAAAAGGACCTGTTCATAATGAGAAACTATCACTCAACGCTGCAGTTTCCCTCAGCTCCATGAAGCATTTTAGCATCTTCAAGCTGACTGTTTTAGTTTTATGGCCCACAGCAACACTTCATCCTCACTGTTCTAATCAGCCTTGTTTTCAACCACAGCAGGCAGCTGTTTATGGCAATAAACAAAAACCTGCCCAGCACCAAACAGCAGCAGAGACAGATATTTGACAGGTAGAATGAGTCGATGGAGACCCAAAAAAAAATCTAAAAGGACAGTCTACTGAATTTACATTCATCAGTGACCAGAGAAAAGACTCAAGATGAATGTTAATGTTGCTCCATGTCTGCTGGGTGTGCAGGCTCAGTTATCACAGCAGACATTTTGCCTTGTTAAAGTGGTGAAAGCACAGTTACTAAGAACATAAAAGTTGTTTCAGCCACATGGGGGAGGCAGAATAAGCTGTAAACACAACATAAAATATCGTCTTACAAAGTTCTTGTGGCAAATGTGTTTGTAATAGTTGCTTATTTTTAGCTGTGGCCAGAGGCTCTATTGGTCACTCTGTCTGTCGGTAGGTCCGCAGAAATACTGCACCCTTTGTGTGTCTGTTTGTGGGGAGAGGCCTGTAACAAAAACCTGCATACCTTCCAAACAGATTCAACAAAAAGACACACACACAGATAGACCGACATCCACAAACTCACAACCCAATTTTTGCCACTTCCCCCTTTTACTAGTTGTTGTAGGAAGGCATCGTTGTGACAAGTGCCAAGTGTTTGTGAGATTGTGTGTGCGGGGCTTGGGGGTGTGTCAGCAAACTTTTTTTTTTTTTTTGGTGTCCTTTGTATCATTCTGTGTCCCCTCTGTAAATTCAAATATTTTTGTGAATGCATCGCAGGCAAAACTGTTGAGTTCTTTTTTATCTCAGCAGCAGTTTGTGGAGTTTTAAGTCGAAGGTTGGATAATTGATCAGTTGATCCAATCAGAGCTGATCAGATCAGATGAGAAGAGCAGCTGCTGCAGAGGCAAGTGAAAGCAAACTTTCAGACCCAGCGCAGTGTACAATTAAGTTAAATTTTCACTGCCCCTGATGTTCTGCTGCTCCATCTGTGCCTGGAGTAAGCTCTGTGCTCAAAGACTATGGTGCAATCAATAACCAAGCAGTATATATATTCCAACAGTGCCTCTAAAATATAGTCCAGCCATGTTATTGTGGCAGGGTGGCCACAAATAAATGAATGTGTGGGAAACCCTGGTGTATGTGTGTGTGTGTGTGTGTGTGTGTGTGTGTGTGTGTGTGTTAAATATACATCTCCACTTCCTACCACTGTTCGAAAAATGAAGCCAAAATATCCTAGATTTGGCTGCTGCCTAAGAACTACCTCAAATGACAGACACAGTCTTTGGAAAAAATTCATTTGACGTGTACTTTGTTTAGTTTGGCCAATCCGCAGTGGGAGGGGCTTATGACCTATACTGCTGCCAACCACCAGGGGGTGGTTGAGATGTTCTAGCTCCACTTCTGGGGAGCTGTCATGGCATCCATCTTTATTACACACCATGGATGCGATTGCAGCTATTGCAAATTCACACTTGTTGATGCAGCAGACAGGCAGCAACCTTCCCATGTATGTTGATGTCATGTTTTGAGCAACTTGATAGTTGTAAGTCCAATATTCACTCTCCTTCAGCTGTGTTTTGGTTTCCACCAAATCTCTGGGGAAATATCTGGTTCTTTAGCTGCTAAGATCCATCTATTTCTGGCTTCATACTCATGCTCTCTCTGCAGTTTGGTGCTTGGAATGTAGGGTACAGTCAGTTTATCTGAGCTTTTTTTAAACTGAAAATAGCTGCTGCCACTGACAACAAGGTTAATAAGACATTAAATGTGTGGCCCGGAAAGCAAAGCAATTAGCTGAATGATGCATAGCAGAGGAAGGCTCAGTGGAAGTGATAATTGTCTGGTTTTGTCACTACAAGCGACACCTTTCACACCACAAATAGTAATTTAATTTGTTTACATAAAAATATTAACAACATAATATTGCAGTGTATCCAAATCTTCTCTTCTAACTGAATCAGTGTCGCAGTATCCACATGTACCACTACACTGATTATAAACCCATGCAGGTAACAGAGCTCAGGACAACTTGAGCATCTTGAGATGTTGAAATGGCCTACCTGTTGCAAGCTGCTTCCTCTCCATGCACCTCCTCATTCTGTCCAAGAATGGCAATTCCCCCATTAGGAGCCTCCCCCTTTATCAGAGTAGATGCGACTTTCCTCGACAGTGGGTGTTCTTCATCTTCCGAGTGGAAGGTAGCAGGTGGAAGGGGTTCCTCCAAGTCCTCTTTGCTCCCCAAACTAAACTGAGAGGAAGAGGAAAATTAGTGAGAGGGGAGGAATATATATATAACATACCCAGCAGAATGTCACAGAGTTTATTCTTCCTGCAACAATACTATTACATGTGCTCATACCTCCACAAGGAAGATTCTGGGTTAACTGTCTGGATTTATCTTGTGACCTTTACACTAAAGGTCCCAGGGTTCCTCAGTCTTATTTTACCTGTGGTTGGATATCAGGTATCTCTGTGGGCGTAGCAGCCACTCCCTGTCCATCTGTCTCAGACTCGGCCTCTTCCTCGTCTACCTCTTGGATGGTCGGTGTTACATCGGAGGGGGGAAGAGAGGTCTTTTTTTTCTTCCGTTTCTTTTTGCGCCTTCTGTCCGTGCTGTGCACCCTCTTGCGTAATCGCTGGGGCAGGGGCAGGTGGGTGGATAAGGGGTGGTGCGTATGGTGAAATGTGTGTCTGTGATCTGTGTTGAACAAAATGAAGAAAAAAATCAAAAGGACATCATGGTTCCAAATGTTCAGTCTCCTGATTGTGTAGACAGTGTCATACAGTGTGTCATTTCTGATCCCTTTGTACTGTATGTGATGTCTAGCTGCACAAAGTATGAGCAAAGTATGTACTTGATATTTCTATGAACAGATGGCATATTATTGTTCTATTGTGTTTTTGATATGAGACTCAGTTGACGCTGCAAATGGCAAGTCATGAGGTCTACTCAGGATGACAGCAGCCTCATCAGGGGAGGTTATTATTCTAAGCTACTTCACACATTTCAGCCTGTCACACAATGCTCCTGGACCTATTACTGATTTTTCTTCAAACACTGGGCAAAGAATTTTTCCGTAGTGGCATTTAATCCAGGCAATCTAAGCTCTAACACAGAAGTATATGCGTCACTATATGCATTCCAACCAAGACTAACTTGATTAAGAAATCATAATGTCAGTCAACTTGTATTTGTTGTTCTTACAGGAACACACTGTTTTCTTAGCTGCAGGCTTTTAATTTAATCAAATAAAACATGCAAATGAAAAAAAATGTGCTATTCTCAGAGGAAATGCTCTCTCCCCCCGATGCCCTATTAAACACTTGAAAAACACAACACAAACAGAAGCTTTAGATTTTAATTAACATGCAATAATGAAGACATGCACTGTTAAATACACATCAAAAAAGCAGCTCTGTCTAATCCCAGCCACTATTATCTCCAAGCAGAGCATGTGGTACTCCTCTGCTAATCTCTATATATTAATCCACTGATATACTTATATACACAGAAACTGTTGCCCTGCTCTAAATCTGATCTCTTAATCTAACTCAAACTATGATGGACAAGGTCAGCATCCCGCATCAAGTGTATTTATACACACATAAACACATTTATATTTAACTGGTTGACAACATGACACAATAATGTGTTTCTACAACAGTAAACACACATAATCTGGCCTTCCATTTATCCATTATCTGTAACCAGTATCCTATTTGGGGTAGTGAAAATCCCAGCTGACACTGAACGAGAGGTGGGGTATACCCTGGAGAGGTTACCACACAATCAGAGGGCTGATACATAAGCCCATTTTACACTGCCTGTTCAAGACGGGAATATGCTGCCTAGCCTTATGTATATAAGGTATGATCAAGGAATCACCTTTAAGCTGCCACGGGAGGTAGTGCCGGATCTGTGTATGTATGAACTATGAATGTATTAGGAGACCTGGATACAGCATTGATGGCAGGACCTCGTTCATTCCTATGGAAGTTGCTCAGTGGTGCAAGAAGCCAAAAAAGCTCTATTTCCACAGTATGAATTTAATCTTGCGGCTCTTTTAGACTTTCGAAATGTTATCAGACCAAACTGATTAAATCCTGATAGTGAAACAAGTCATTCTGCAGTGGTTGTGACGCTCCAAAAAAGAGTATCCACTGATATACAGACTTGTCTTTCTGAATGTAAGTCTATGGGGAAGAGTTTTTAGGGTCCAATGGCATCACTTCATGGACCCACAAACTGCAGCATCACTGTTTGGCCACTATGAAAATTGGCGCACTTCCAGGGGGCCTGGTACTATAAATAGGACAGCTGAAAGGACCATGGACAGGACAGGTGTGACATTTTTACGATGTATCCTAACAAATGTGATGTTTACAACCCACCACAGGAATCTAAAATCACACACTGGCATGGCACGATGCTGCCATTGTTTGGTTTTGTGTAAAAATGCAAAAGAAGCATGAGGAAGGGACTTCATAGTGGCCCTATAGCACAGTCTCTGTGTAAAAAGGCGTAAAAAGACAGACAACCATTTACACTCACATTGGCATCTATGGGCATCTTAGAGTCTCCAGTTAACCTAAACTGCATGTCTTTGGTCTCTGGGACGAAGCCAGAGAACCAAGAGAAAACTCACTCTGACATGGGAACAACATGCAGACCTCACACAAAAACACCAGAAGTATTTTGCTGTGAAGTGACACTGATGATCACTACACCACCATGCATGGATATGTCACTAGCTGCATAGCTGCAGGTATTCAATCATAAACTAAAGTATTTGTCAATGTATAACACTGACCAGAGGATGACACTGGATGGAAAGTAGTGGGATCACCAAAGTTATGGACACCATGCATTACTGCGCCAAATTTCAAGGTAATCCATCCAAAAGAAACCAGATATTTCACTAAGAACTAAATTTGTCAACCTCATGATAGTGCTAATAGAAAATTTAGGGGATCAGGGAAGTCAGTGTGATTCCTCCTCTGAGGACCAGGAAGAGCTCAACAGAATTTCATGGCAATCCATGTAATGGCTGAATAATTTCAGTCTACACCATTATGGTGAATTTTACTCCACTGAAATGCTTACAGATTTGATTATAAAAATGTTGATGTTGTATGGAATTAAGAATTTAATGGAACTAATGTTAACTAATCATAATAACTTGCTTTTTGATATTGATAATACTCAGTACTGGATTAGTCACACTTGGTTAATTGTAGGTATAATGTGTTTATGGTACTCGTACATGGTAGCTTTGCTTACATTCAAAATCTTTCTCAGTGTAGTGTCGGCCCATCCTGTCTCCGCTGGTGGAAGCAGAGTCACTGATGATGTCTGCGAAGCGCTCCACAGACAGTGCTTTCTCCCAGTTCTCCTCCTCCTCTTCTTCCTCCAGTTCCTCCACCGATCCTTCCTCATCTTCCTCATCCACCTTCACCTGCAGAAGGATGGAGAGAATGAGAAAACTTTCACACTGGGAAAAAAAGCACAGGAAGAAACAGTTGACACAGAGAGGACACTATGACATAAAGAATTGCAAGACAGCTCTAGCTGTGAAAGAAACAGGGTTTCACTGTGTTTTGAAATCTATAAGCGACCCTTAGTCCATTCCTTCATACAGAAAGCTACTGTGAAACTTGATGATTACATGGATTGTGCTATTCAGATGAATGTGTTGTATGTATTATCCAAGTGGGTGATCCAATCAGAAATTATTTTAGCATAGCACGTGTTAGCACTGATGTTTGAAATAACAGCAACCCAGAGAGCTGATTCACGCCAAACTAGAATTTCTGCTTCGTGGCTGTATGCCTCTGTGAACCACTCAAGTTTCTCTGACAGTTTCCATCCATACATGGATGCTTCACACACATTTTCCCCCAGACAGCACAGACGATCTACACAATCAACACAGTTTCAAGGTGGACACCCATGATTTGTGTCACCAAATTAATATCTGACCAAATATCTCCACATCTGCTCCTCAGATATGACATTGATTAATGGCCAGAAAAGTGTTTTGTAGAACTTTATGATGTCTCAATGAAGCTGACCTTTGACCTTTTGGATATAAAATGTCATCACATCATCATTTTATCCTATTGAGAATTTGTTTGAAATTTTGTCATAATTACCATAGGAATTCTTGAGTTATGGGCAAAAACATGTTTTGTGAGGTCACAGTGACCTTGACCTTTGCCCTTCAACCGTCAAATTCTAATGACTTTATTCTTGAGTCCAGGTGAACATTTGTACCAAATTTGAGGAAACACCCTTAAGAAATAATGTGTTCACAAGAATGAGACAGATGCAAGATCATAGTGACCTTGACTTCTGACAACCAAATTCTAATCAGTTCGTCACTGAGTAAAACTTATCTTTTGTTCCAAAGCTGAAGAAATTCCCTCAAGGTGTTCTTGAGATATCATTTTCATGAGAAGGAGATGGATGCAAGGTCACAGTGACCTTTGACCACTAAAATCTAATCAGTTTATTGTTCAGACCAAGTGAACGTTTCTGTGAAGTTTAAAGATAAACCCTCAAGGAGCTCTTGAGACAAGAATGGGATGTATGTACGTACATATGTACCTACGAATGCACGGACAGTAGGGGTGTAAAAAAAATGTCAGTCAAAAATAAAATCCTGCTGTTTTTTTAACACATTTTTTGAATGAAAAATATAAATATACATTTCTGCTTAAACAGTTTTACTCAATTAAAATAAAAAGTATAGTGCAGCTGGTCAGCTTTAAAGCCTGCTCAGATTCAGTTTTACTAGGAACTTACTTAGCTTTCCCACTTTGTTAAAGTGCAGTAAACAAAACATGCTTATATCTAAAGTGCAGCTTAAACAATTTTACTCAACTCCAATGGCGTTGGTTATTTCTTTAGCACGATGGTCAGGGAAACGCTCTTTCTTTTTAAACGACGACGATATCGTAGTTTGCACCAGATTGCTTTTTCTAGTCGTTCGTAGTCGTACGTTCAAACTCGGGTGGTGTCGCTTTAGATGCGTTAGCATGTTAGACGTGTTTCCAAGTACATACCCGACCGCTGTTCTGCAGTGTCGGCTCACTGCTTTTGTCTTGTCAACTTGTTTATTTCCATCTTCGTATTTTACCCTGAAACCAAAGTGTTCCCAAACAGAGGACTTGAGGTTTGCGGATGGGTCTTCAGGTTCGTCAGGCTCACTTGCCATGTTGTCAAAATGCGAGAATGCGCTGCACAAAGTGAAAGCGGAGATTTACGGGACTCGGTCCGTCACTCAATTATATCCGTCGGGGAACTAGATATTTTAAATGGTTTGGCTCGCAAAAATGGAATTAAAATAAAACAAAATAAAATAAAATAATATCCTATGCCCAATAATTCGGTAGAGGGTCGTGCCGAACCGGAAGTCGCGTACCGAACGGTTCGGCACAAATACATGTACCGTTACGGCCCTAACGGACAGACAACATAAAAACATAATGCCTCCAGCCAAGGCTATCTCTGATGCGAGGCATGATAAAAGTAGAATCCTAATCAGGATGAACTCAGAACAAACAAATGTGAGGGAGTTCCATCACCAATTCAGTACTACATCTATATTATTGTGACTCCGTCTCAACGCACTGCATGCAAGCAGTTAAAATTGTGGAGAGCAAAAAAAATACAACCTGCTGCCAACACAGCTTTTTATTGTGCCTGTTATAATTCAAGCCAAAGCCCACTGTGGCTGGCCCCAAACCCTGATTTTGCTTTGTATTTATTGAAAATACATTTTTAAGAAGCCTCAAAAATGCATTTTAAAATAATTCTGTTTCAGCAAAATGGGCACATAGTGTTTGTACAACCTCCACCTTATGTATGGAGGACATTAAATCAATACAACAAAGTGCTAAGCAGCAAAGAACTAATGCACGAGACATTCCCTAGAGACAGTGGAGGCTGAAGGGAGTGTCCTGCCAGAGCCATTCGGTCCCTGTGATAGGTCAAATCACTGGGACAGGCTCCTTCCTCTGCCTCAGATTGGTGCTTGCATGGTAAGCACTCTGGTTACAGCTCTGTGGTCTCCGATTTCTCTGAGCCAGGGCTCCATTACCTCCTAATTACCAGTGGGATGAAGGGACAGGATACGTTTAATGATCTGAGCTACCTATCTCCACAAGGCCGAGGCAGATGAAGCCAAACCAAATATAAAAGGGAGAATTTTAACTTAAGCGGTAAAAGCCTTGTTTTCACTGGACGGCCAGCTCAGTTTTGCTCATTACTTAAGGTTCTCTATATTCCTGAGAACCAATTCTAGTTTCATTTCAACCTCTCTGACTTCTTCCCTCCTTACCTTGCTCTGGTGAGCACTGTTTATCAGTGTAAGACTCTGAATTTAATAGTCCTAATGTAATGCATGAGGGAATAATACTCTTAGCTGTGGCAGATATCACAGTAAAGAGATTTCCTCTAAACCTGCTTTTGCTTTGCTCTAGCTCCATTGGTGCACATGACTCCAAACTCTTTCATGTCAGCTTTGAAGTCAGTTAGGGTGGGGAGACACAGGAGGAGGGCAATCCATGCCCAGGTGGTGGAGGCACTATGTGAGAAGGATTTAGATGACAGACAATAGAGTACAGTGATTTCAGATACAATGCATTCTATCAACAGTGGGGCGCAAATGGCAATCAGAGGTTTAAGAACAGGCTCCTATAATGACAGTGTTTGGATACACTGAAACTCTGCTTTCATCAGCACAGATGGAACATCCATTCTGTCTGATGAGAAATTCTAATGTCAGATAGAAAATATCTTAAAGTCACAGTGAAAGGGAGGCTAGAGCTTCTTCAGCTGCTGTAATGTGACGTATTTGTGGGTACATCAGTTATAAGAGGGATTCACATCAAATCAGAATGAACTGGAGCTCTCAAAGGTGGGTTTGCCTATGCCCAGTTCAGACCGAAGATTCGCTACAAGACTCAATAGTGTGAACTGACCTGTTTTAGCTCGACTCAAGCCAACTGATGGTGTCAGCATCATACCTACTGTACACTGGAAGACTTTGCAATACTTTTAAAAGACTATAGTCTGACATTCTCATACATCTAAAGACAATATGCATTATTAGATTTTGCAAAAACTGGGAATCTTGCAGGATGACTATTTGCAAGACTCCAACTAGATTGCTCCCATCCTGCTCCTGGCGAAAAATATTGCACCAAACTCTCGAGAAATATGATATATCAATACTGAAATACTGAAGCAGTATAATTTTCTACAGTATCTGTTTTGTCTGTATCAGATGTGTTTGGTTTCCTGCTGCCTCTTTCTTTGAGATAATAAATCTAGCATTGCCTTTTCTATAAATATGAAGACTTGGGCAATTCATGTAACTCTAATATTTATGTTACTCTACATACAGTAGTTGTGGTAAACATGGAAATATTGACTGTCAGAGAAAAATCTACCTTGTCAAGTTCTTTACATGTTGCCCCATGACAATTACTTGATTAAACAATTAGCTGACAGAAAATGAATCAACATTTTTTTTCATTCATTAAAGAGAGAGTTCAACCCAAAATCAAAAACACACTTTTTTCCTCTTGCCTGTAGTGCTTTTTTATCAATCTAGATTGTTTGGTGTGAGTTGCAGAATGTTGGCGATATCAGTCATAGAGATGTCTGCCCTCTCTTTAATACAATGAAACTAGATGACGCTGTGCTTGTGGTGCTCAAAACATCAAATATATATATATATATATATATATCTATATATTAAACTCAGTAATGTCCCCAGAAGTCACAACCTGGTTACTGAAGATAATCCACAGACCTTGTTGTGAGCTGTTTCATGTAGGAACTATTTTCTTTCTACTGAAATAGGAAATGTGCATCTACTCAGGTGCTAGGTGAGCTAGCAGTAGGTATGGTGAAAAATAGCAGTGCGCATAAAAAAAAAAAAAATCTTAAACCATACATAGAGGTGCATGGGTGTGGCATGAATACAGAAACAAACAGAACGCTGTCACTGACAGATATGTGTACTTATGTAATATGAGATTTTGCTCATATTACATCAGTGTTTTTGAGCTAGGAGTAGATGCATGCTGCCTTCTGCACGGTGATACGGCTGGCGAGTGTGATTGGGTTGTGTTAATATTTTTGATTTTGGGGTGAACTGTACCTTTAAGCACAAATGCCAAACATCCATTGACTTCACATTCTCAAACATGAATATTTGCATTTTTTTTTTTAAAATCTTTTTTGATAGTAAACTAACTGTCTTTGGTTCTGGACTATTGGACCAAACAAGTCATTGGATGACATTACCTTGGACTCTTTCTGACATTTGGCATTTAGCAATTAATTGAGGAAAATGTAAAAAATAATCAGCAGTCAACAGAGTGGATCATTTGACATGCTGTGAAACCCCACTGGAGCGCAAAGGATTAATATAATCCATTTTCA